GAAATTCCGGAAAAATCTGCCCAAAAAATCCCCATCAAAATGCGCCCCAAACGCGCCCGGATTCCGGAAAAATCTGCCCAAAAAAATTCCTGAAATTCCGGAAAAATCTGCCCCAAAAAATTCCTGAAATTCCGGAAAAATCTGCCCCAAAAATCCCCATCAAAATCTGCCCAAAAAAATTCCTGAAATTCCGGAAAAATCTGCCCCAAAAAATTCCTGGAATTCCGGAAAAAATCTGCCCAGAAATCCCCATCAAAAATCTGCTGGAATTCCCAAATTCCGGAAAAGCCTGCCCAAAAATATGCCCAAATTCCTGAAAAATCTGCACAAAAAAATTCCCAAAATTCCTGAAAAAATCTGCCCAAAAATCCCCATAAAAATTTGCCCAAATTCCCAGAATTCCGGCACGAAATCTGCCCAAAAAAATTCCCGAAATTCCAGCCAAAATCCACCCAAAAATCCCCATCAAAATCTGACGGAATTCCCAAAAGTCTGTCCCCAAATCCCACCGGAATTCCCAAAAATCCCCATTGAAATCCGCCCGGAATTCCCAAAAATCCCCATCGAAATCTGCCCAAAACCCCCCAAAAACTTCCACAAAATCCCCAAAATTCTTCCCAAAAACCCCCCAAAAATCCCAGAATTCCCCCAAAATTCCCCCAAAAATCCCAAAATTCCCCCAAAAATCCCAAAATTCCCCCAAAATCCCAAAATTCCCCCAAATCTCCCCAGACGCCCCCGGGTGACCCCGAGGACACAAAGGGACGAAAATTTTGGGATCAGGGGAGGGTTGGGGAGAATTTTGGGGAGAATTTTGGGATTTTTGGGGAGGTTTTGGGGAGATTTTGGGATTTTTGGGATAAATTTGGGATAATTTTGGGATTTTTGGGCAGTCCATGGGTTTTATTCAGGTTTTATTTTGGGATTTTATTCCTTTGGGGAATTTTTAGGGTTTTTTTGTTTAAATTTTGGTTTTTTTGGGGCAGATTTGGATGGAATTTGGGCTTTTTTTAAATTTTATCTTTTTTTGGGGGGGGAATTTGGGGAGATTTTTAGAATCCTGGGATTTTTTTTTTCCTTTTTTAAAAATCAAATTTTCGTGATTTTTTTGGGGGTGCTCATTTCGAATTTTATATTTTCGGGGGGGGGGGTTTTGGGGAGAATTTTTACTCTTTTTTTGATTTTTTTTTTTAATTTTTTAAAATCTCAATTTGAAAATTTAAATTTTTTTTTTGTTGGTTTTGGCTTTTTTTGAGGCCGATTTCTTCAAAATTCCATTTTCCCACCCAACCTCGGCAGATTTTCCATTTTTTGGGGGTTTTCCCGTCGGTTCCAAAATTTAAAATTTGGGAATTTTTTAGGGCCCC